TGTCGATGGTAAAATTTGTTTGCCTCACCGTTCATTAAGCAGCTGATGCTGTGCCCTTCTGGAGGATTTTTGTTGCCCGGAAGCCTTAACTGAAGAGCTCATTTGCAGACTTTAGGAGTAATCCTGTTTTGTCCATCTGAGGCTGAATCTCAGGTGGTTCCTGAAATCAGCCATCTTACATGCCATTTGCTCATACTGACGTACAAGCTTTAGGCAGTCCTTGCCAAAGTGGGTTAAAACGTCTTTATGCATGCTCAATAATGCAGGTAAGTAAAATAAGAGTGTATGTCAGTATGAGCATACAGAACGTAAGATGGCTGATTACAGTCCTGCAGTCAGCTGAGACTGAAGAAGTCACTTGGATGAGTGAGGAAACCTTTCTCCCACTGAACACACTATGTCCAGATGACCAGAATCCACTTTTGGGGGCATTGATAGACTTCTATTATCACACCATAACCAAAAACAGATTAGATGAATAAACGAACAACACACACTCATTCATGTTTTTATTTCTATTCTTGGTAATAATTATTTCCATGCTCAGACTGTTGCAAGGCAGACAACAGCTAAAAAAGTCAAAGTTAAATGTTACACAAAGTTAAAATTGCAATAAAAGTTCTGACCAGAGAGAGCCAATGTGAAGCCTTGACTATTGGTAATCTTCAATTCAAGGCTTCATGACGCTTCATCACTAGTCTGGACTGACTCATAGAAACAGACTGACAGAGGTTGACACAACAAAGGACACAGATACAGAGAATATATACACAGGAGGACATTAGGGCAGAGTGGACACACCAGGGAGCACAGCTGTGAAGAATAGAACTAACAAGACAAGGGATCCAAAACTGAACATGATACACACAAGAGAGAGGTCTAAGAAAATAAAACAGGAAGTAACACACACTGAGACCCAGACTAAGACGCATGAACTTGACAAAGAGACCGGAGCTACACAGAGACATGACTGACTGGGGAGACACAAAGGGATACAAACATGGAGACAACCACTGTGATTACCACAGGAGACACCAAGGACAGATCAGAGAGATGAAACTGAGGCAGACAGGGCACCAAAAGGAACTAACACAATCAATCAAGAAACCAAGAAATATGAATAGAAAACAGATAAACAAGTAATAGGAAATCAGTACACAAAAACCTGAATATGATTTATCTCAAATGTCCAAGGAAAGAATCAGAAGTCCAGAACAAAACTCAAAAATACTTGGCCTGAGACTCAGGACTATGACAACTTTAACATCAACATGCAAGCAGTGCAGTCTTGTGCCATAACCAAGCTGCAATATTTGGTCACTTTTGAAATATTTGGTCAAAAGTTGCAGTGACTGTGTGCAAGAGGAACATTCATCCAATAACAATAACAAAAGGTTTGAGTGTTTGTAGCATTTTATGAATGACAAACAACATGTCTCATTATTAAAATGTTGGGGGAAAAAACACAATTTTAATATAAAAAAGAGAGAAAGAGATTAGTGATATGAACAAAGCCATGCATTTTTAGTATATGTCTTTTGTTTAAAACTACTCCCCTGATTTACATTGTGTCTGTTGCATCAGCTGAAGCAGTTCAAGGCTGACAATTCCGATGTTAGTTTTGGCTCTGGGACCTTAGCACTGGATCAATCATTGAGAGAACCATCGCTAACATTAAATGGGTTGAAGAGAACAAGAAGAATGTTCTGGACTGAAGCTAATGCCCAATGAAGAAGCTGTTTTTACTTTTTCATCATTCATTTAAAAATGAAAACAGAGGTTCGATCGACCTGAAAATGTTTGTGCGTTGTTGTGTCTGTATCGTTCTCTCTGGTGTTGCATTGATTTTTGCACTTGCACTTTATGTAGTCCTGTGTGTATTTTCTGTTATATGTTTCTCCATGGTCTTGGAGGAACTCTGTCTCATTTCACTGTGTACTGTATATCGTTAAAATGACATTAAAGCCCCTTGATTTGACTTGATGCTCTCGCTCCCTCTAGTGGTAGGTATAATAATTTCGGTAATGCAGTCAGTCGTCTTGTGTGAGGAAGAAAAACAGATCAGCTGCTGTCATTTATTGATGTCTCCAAATTTTAAAAAAATTTAATGTCTATATGTAGTTAGGTAAAAATATTGTAATCAATGTACCCAATGCACATGAATAGCTATTTACAAATGCTTTTCACTTTTAGTTCACACAGCTTTCCAGCTGCTGCTTCTTCCAGCTCAACACACCACACAGCTCTCTTGTGTGGTCTCTTCATCCTATTCAAATAAGGGATGAATGATTATACGATGGAGATCAGCCGTTTTGGTCTGCCTCCCTGACAGCACACCACTAAACCCTCCCTGCAGCTCCCTCTTTGCCTGCTGTACATTTTTACATTTGTGTAAAAATGTAGGTAGTGGAGTAATGTAAAAGTTGTCAGAAAAATAAATAGTAAAACAAAGTACAGATACCTGAAAAGTCTACTCAAGTACAGTAGTAAAGTACTTTTTACTTCCCACTACTGACAGGCACCAAGGATGACTACCACTGGAAAAGGTAAATACAGCGCCTCAAACACATGGAGAGAACAAAAGAGACGGAGAATGAAAAGATGAGACAGAAACTGGCAGTGGGCAATAAAAATAAAAAGACTGGGAAGCTGTGATAGTGCACCCCCTAATGGAAGCCTCCGGGGAACACACTGGGTTTGTAAGGAGGATGCCTTCACAGCACCGATCATTTCACACACTTTTTTGTGTCTACCTTGCAACTGCTGGTTCAGCTTTTTAATTTCTTCCGGATTTTTGGCCAGATCACCCACTCAGCATCTCTTAGTAGTATGTTATCCTCTCCTCTCATTGTCACGAAAGCCTCGATCTCACCCAATAAGAAAAAAAAAAGCTTACGTCTTACTCCACTCTGTATGCTCGTATGGGTCTGACCCTTTCACTCCTTTGATTTTTTACTTTTTTTTTTTGCCTTTTCGTCAAGTCTGTCTTTGTACGGACCTGCCGTGTTCTCCGTCGTTTTGTACATAACTGTTTTTGGGGCAAATAAAATGCAAGTAGGGATTAAAACCGCAGAATTAATGATTACCGGTGCTGGAAATACTAGCGCTTGATGCAGTGTTTTGATTTTGTTGCCTCTAGTACCCACAATGCAATGCGTGAAAGTCACGTGGTCTGTCAATCTCTATCAAGGACTGTGGAAAACAGCATGATTCATTCAAATCAATATAAGACTTATTTGTAACCTACATCAACAATTATGTTATGATAAATTACGTAATAACTACAACAGAAGACTTACCTTAGTGGAAATGCTTGGAGCAGACTTACATATGAGCTGGAGTGTTCTGAAACGTTATATCTGGTCTTCGAACGGCTGCAATCCGGGCCATCCGGGCATGACGTCACATTTTATGTGACGTCATGCCTGCTGATGAATGATGCAGTGATAGTTCGAACATTTAGGAAAGTTTGGGTGCACTTTGCCATGTGCAATAAATCTGGAGTGAGGTCTTGTCACCTCTGCTGCTCCATCAGTTGTTATAGAAACCAGTTTTTCAATGGATTTTTTCCCCCCAACAAGTACCGCTTCATTGCATTGTAAATGCCAACTTCCTTGGTTTTCAGTGGCAGCAACGTCAAAAATTCCTCCTTTGTAGAAAAGTCATCACCATGTGTGCACAGCTAGCTGTGCCGTATTACTGTAGTCCTCAGACTCATCACACTGAAGTAAATACCAGGAGCACCTGTGCAGGTCCAAATCTAGCTTTCTCTCTGCATCTGCTGACTGTGTTCAAGCCAAGCTGAACATTAGCGATAGCAGAAAGAATCTCAGTCTTATTTTCTCAATGATTCTGCCATTGCCTCTTTAATGATCTCGACATTGATGAAGGGTTTTTTGTGCTTGGTGAGGATGTGCACCACTTTAAATGATGCCTCGGTTGATGCGTTAGCGTTCTTTGTCTGTTTAGATTGTTGTTTTTGGAGGATAGTTTTCAATTCTTTTACCTTTTTTTGCAGAGGTTGCTTCCCACTACAAAGTCCTGGGAAAGGTTGATGTGAACTTTGGTGAAATGCTGCTCCGTGTTGCATTTTTTAGAGACACCAAGGTTCGTGCCACAGGTCAAACAGACATACACACACATTTGTGGGAAAAAAAACAAGTTGTTTCCCACTCCTCAAGAACATATTTTTTTCCCTCTTACTAGCATAACCAAACTCTGCTGCTATCATTGTTGCTAATAGCCTGGCACCTCGTCTGCCTGCTACCTCCATACGGCGTCTAACCGCTTCAATTGCTGACGGCACAAACTTTTGATTGACAGCTAGTTGACAAATAATTGTTTTATCTCAAGAGGGGTAGGGGTATATTTAATTTAAATTTGATGAAAAGCTTGGCCAGTTTCACCAATACAAATTATATTTGTTATTTTCTTGACCACTTTTGTTATTGATCCCTTTGGCAAGCTACTGAAAAAGGCCCTGTTCGCAAGTGATGTGGTGGAGACTCCTGCTGTACTCTGAGCCTCTCCCGTAGTAACTCTGGTGCCGCCTAGTTACACCGTATTCATGTTTACACATTACTGTGCTCATTTTCTATATTACTAACAAAATATGAAGAAATAAGGATTGGTTTCATTATGGGCAAGAATTTTTCAAGTTAGACGTTTCTGGAAATAAACAGACATTTTAAGTTTAATCAAACTAAAAGCAAATAATTTTTTATAATCTACAAACGATTAGTTAGCTCAAACAAAGTGGCCTTTCTTGTTTAGACAGTTTATATTGGTTTGCCTATTGAAAACAGCAACTCATTTAAGACTTATTTAAGATTTTCAAATTTATGCCACAAGTGCATCTACTAGGAGGCTGAGGATTAGCACTGGCTGCCACCAGTATTAAGCATTAAGTCTTTCACTCAGCCACTCAACTTGCTGTGAGCTTAATGTGAGCTACTGTTTTCAAGGCAAAAAATAAATAAATAAATAACAATGATCAAGAATTATGTTAAAAAGTTTATTAACTGCAACAATCAACATCATTGACGAAAATCTACTTTTATATAGTCACTGGTCATAATACTGATATGTAGGGATGGGTATCGAAAACCGGTTCTTGTTGAGAACCGGTTCCCACTGTTTCAATTCCTTGGAATCGTTTGCCATTTTTGCAAACGATTCCCTTATCGATTCCAGTCGCCCCGAATGACGTCACCACGTTGCGGAGCGTCATTTACCTGGCAGGAAACACGGCGCCTAAGCGGCTCAAACGCTCAAAAGTTTGATTATACTTTATGAGAACCAACTCTCCCATTTCTCCAAAAGGTTCCTCATCCTCTGGCTCCGACACAAAGTCAGGCACCACCTCATCCTCCTCTTCCTCTAATTCCACATGTTTTCCATGGCTTTCCAGCACTTCTATGTCCCCTTCTTCATTGAGGATCTCGCTGTCTGAAATGACCCTGTCCTCCTCTTCATTAGGAGACTCCAGCAACTCACTGTCAGAAAGACCCTTCTCCTCCTCCTCAGGAGACTGAGGGGACTGGGTAGGGCTTTCAGGAGTATCCATGTGAATCCACTCTGGTGCAAAACAAAAACAAAAAAAGCAATCTGTCAAAAAAAGAAAGAAAAGACAACTGTATGTCACCAGTAATCTGATAGCAATTAAATACTGTTTAATGTAATGCTACGTGCCTTTTGTTAATCGATTTAGAAACAGTCAATTAAAAACAGTCACAATTAACCGATAAAATGTCTATACAAATTAAATATAAGATTTTAACGATTCCGATTCCATTTTCGATTCTGTTTAACGATTCGATTCTTTATCGATTCTCTTATCGATTCTTTTTTTTTTAAAAAAAAGGAGAACACTAAGGTCGATTAGCTCAGAGCTTTGTTTTATATCTTCTCTTTGAACAAGATAGAAATTTAGGAGTAACATGGCCTTACAAACCCAACAGTGAGATCTTGAGAGATCCAGCCTACGACTCTTCAATGGGGTGTCACAGGGTCCCCAGGAAAAAAAATTGTAAATGTAAAATAATAAAATAAATATTCTTGTGAGACATATCACATATTGACGGGGTCGGGTTATGTTAAAAAGTATAAATTGTTATACTTTGTTCATTGGTTCAAAGGTACCCCACACTTCTTTTTTTGTTTGCTTGTTTGTTCTGGTGTATTTTTCATTTGAACTGTTACTCTGCCAGAGTACTCATATTTACAAGATGGCATTGAACGCCCCATTGGTGTATCAGGAAAACTATTTTGTACGTATGTTCCTTGAAGGGGATTGAAGTCGTTCTTTTTTCCACCGCAGCGAAGGGCTAGGAGTAGGAGAGGAGCTGCTGTATGTTTTTGTTATCGAATCGATCTGATTGTGAAATAAAGCATATGCAGTGAGAAAGCAACTCCAGGAGTCATCCCTGCCTTAAAGCTGCAACATTCTTCTGTAGCAATAACAAAGTATAACATAAATTGTTCTGTGGCAATTACACAAGAATATCCAGTAATGTCCCTGCCTACAATTAAACACATTCACTTACCAAAAATCGGGGGCATCTGCTGTGGCAAATGGGTGCAAGCCTTTGACCACAAACTTAGACACTGCTCGGTGACATTCGTCTATCCTGGCCTGAAAGGAGACGCTACCGGTAGACTGCAGCGAGAACTGCCAGCGAGCGCCAGCCAGACTCTGTCTGTCTCTCTCATCATGGTCACCTACATGTACAGTAATGGCAGGTCTTGTAATAAGGCAGATTGCGCTAACATAATATGCACTGTTAGTTGATTATTTACCTGCCGCATTAACGGGAGAGGACGTGCAAACGTTAGCGCTGCTGCTGGGTTGAGAGTCACGAGTCCGGAGCGGAATTAAAAACGCGTGTCATCGCGTGTTTTGTGAGCAAATGCTTTTGCATATTCGTAGTGTTTCCTCCCTTAAATGAAATATCTACTTTGCAAGTTGCCCTGTTGTCATCGGTTCTCATAAAGTATAATCAAACTTTTGAGCGTTTGAGCCGCTTAGGCGCCGTGTTTCCTGCCAGGTAAATGACGCTCCGCAACGTGGTGACGTCATTCGGGGCGACTGGAATCGATAAGGGAATCGTTTGCAAAAATGGCAAACGATTCCAAGGAATTGAAACAGTGGGAACCGGTTCTCAACAAGAACCGGTTTTCGATACCCATCCCTAGCCAAGTGAGGCTGGGGGAGATCACCTCTGAAACCCTGCTCCTCAAGGATGTGTCCTCTCACCACTACTGTTCTCCCTCTACACTAACGACTGCACCTCCAAGAACTCGGCTGTCAAACTCCTAAAGTTTGCAGATGACACCACTGTCATTGGCCTCATTCAAGATGGTGATGAGTCTGCATACCGGCAGGAAGTTGAGCGGCTGGTACTCTGGTGCAGTCAGCACAATCTGGAGCTGAACACTCTTAAGACTGTAGAGATGACAGTGGACTTCAGGAGACATCCCTCAACTCTGCTCCCCCTCACCATATCAGACAGCCCTGTGTCAACTGTGAAGACCTTCAAGTTCCTGGGTACAACCATCTCCCAGGACCTGAAGTGGGAGACCAACATCAACTCCATCCTCAAAAAGACCCAGCAGAGGATGTACTTCCTGAGACAACTGGGGAAGTACAGTCTTCCACAGGAGCTGCTGATCCAGTTCTACACTGCGGTCATTGAGTCTGTCCTGTGCTCCTCCATCACAGTCTGGTATGGAGCAGCCACTAAACAGGACAGGAGCAGACTGCAGCGGACTGTACGGGCAGCAGAAAGGATCATCGGCGCCCCCCTGCCCTCCATCCAGGATCTGTACCTCTCAAGAACCAGGAAACGGGCAGGGAAAATCATCACAGACCCCTCACACCCTGGACACAGACTTTTTGATCTGCTGCCCTCTGGCAGACGGTACAGAAGCCTGCAGACCAGGACCACCCGACACAGGAACAGTTTCTTTCCCCTCGCCATCTCCCTTCTTAACAGTTGACCTGTCACACTGCTCCCACTGCCAGACTGCAACTGCACCTTATGTACATTTTGTAGTATTCATTCCACCTCATTCATTTCTGTATTTTATGTATATAAGTTTAGATTCGTTATTTATAGTTGGTTTACACAGCTTTGTGTATGTATGTGTAATGTGTATATATAGACACGTGTGTGTGTGTGTGTGTGTGTGTGTGTGTGTGTGTGTGTGTGTGTGTGTGTGTGTGTGTGTGTGTGTGTGTGTGTGTGTGTGTGTGTGATTTACATTGCTGTGCTTGAGAGCCACCATCTACCGGAACCAAATTCCCTGTA